CCCGTGGCCAGTTGGTGTCTCTCTGTTAGCCGTGAAGATCCGTGTTGTCCCTCCTCCTCCTCTTCCCGTCTCCATCCCTTCTTTCCACCAATTCTCCTGTCATCCTCCCTCCTGTCATTCTCCCTGTCATCCTCCCCTTCCTGTCATCCTCCTCCCGGTTACTCATCACGATAGTATGGAATCATTATCAAAGTATTAATTTAAGTTTTATCGTGAGAAGATATGTTTAAGTCTCCTGTGTTATCTGGCGAGCCGTTATAATCTATCAAATAGGATGACCTCTTTATTACGGCTATTGAACACTAGAACCCTTTATCTAGTTACGGTAGGGTTGGGTAGGGTGGGGGTTGGGTAGGGTGGGGTAGGGTTGCAGGGTAGGGCTGCAGGGTAGGGCTGGGTAGGGTGGGGCTGGGCATGGTAGGGCAGGGTTGCAGGTGGGGCTGTAGGGTTGGGTAGGGTAGGGTAGGGTAGGGTAGGGTAGGGTAGGGTAGGCTAGGGTAGGGTTGGGTAGGGTAGGGTTGGGTAGGGTAGGGTTGGGTAGGGTTGGGTAGGGTAGGATGGGGTAGGGTTTGGTTAGGTTAAGTTTAGTTTAGTTTACTACGTTTGGTTACAATGTATAAATCCCTTTTTTTATTTACTGCAATTTACATTAATTTATTTATTCTTATCACATAAATTTAGGTCAGAAAATAAAATAAAATAAATTGTTTGGCTTTGAGGCAGACTGGTCCACACTGTATTGATCGCCAGGAAATGAATGTGTAATTTCCTGTCATAAAATGCATGAATTAACCGGAGCTACAACCAATTATCCGTAACCCACTGTATACTGTTACCATCACATGTAGTAGAACTGTAGTGTGTGTGTGTGTGTGTGTGTGTTTTATGCAAGTGAATCATCATAACACCCATCACCACCACCACCACCACAACAACAACCACCACCACCACCACAACCACCACCACCACCACAACCACAACCACCACCACCACCACAACAACAACAACAACAACAACAACCACACTACCACCACCACTACCACCACCACCACCACCACAACAACAACAACCACCACCACCACCACCACCACGACCTCACCACCACCACCACAACAACAACAACAACAACAACAACAACAACAACAACTACCACAACCACATCCACCACCACCACCACCACCACCACCACCACCACAACAACAACAACAACAACAACAACACCAACAACCACCAATTACCACTACCACTCACTACCTCACCACCACCACCACCACAAACAACAACCACAACAAATAAATAACTACCATCACAACCACATCCACCACCACAACCACTACTACCACCACCACAACCACAACAACTGGAAGGCATCGTCGCCATGAACGTGTGTCTCAACATAGCCAAAGTAATTGTCGACTCTGGGCTCGTCTGTCTTGTTGATAGGCGAGGAGGAGGGGAGGAGGGGGGGAAGAAGGGAGAGGAGGGGGGGGGAGAAGGGAGAGGGAGGAGGGGGTAGGGAGGGAGAGGAGGAGGGGGAGAGGGGTAGAGGAGGAGGGGTGAGGTAGGGAGAGAGGGAGGTAGTGACTGAGAGGAGTGAGGGGGGAAAGAGGGGTGAGGGAGAGAGGGAGGGAGGGAAAGAGGGGTGAGGGAGAGAGGGAGGGAGGGAAGAGGGGTGAGGGAGGGAGAGGAAGACGCCACAACGCTCCTCTATTTCACATTCTTATACTCCTTTATGTCTCACTATGAATGGTTTACACTGGACCATTAGAATAATTACAGGAGAATCCATGTTACTGTTCCGTGTTGATGATCCGTGTTACTGGTCCGTGTTACTGCTCCGTGTCCGATGTTTTGTGTTAGTGGTCCGATGTTCCGTGTTACTGTTCCGTGTTATTGGTTCATGTTCCGTGTTTCTGTTCCATGATGACGGGATGGAACGGAACTGGACGGTAGGTGTGGTCTTAGGTCAGGAATTGCTTGATTGTATATTAGTCGTCGCCAATCTCTCTCTCTCTCTCTCTCTCTCTCTCTCTCTCTCTCTCTCTCTCTCTCTCTCTCTCTCTCTCACATCACAGTAAACATACAGTCATCACCTTTCTTATACATAGCAATGAGTATGTATTTTTTCCTCTCATTTAACATACGTGTATACAACATTCATACATTATATAGTATGCATAGTCTCATACATACAGGTATACGAGCCCTGTATGCATTATAAATTCCCCAATATTTTACGCCGTACCAAATGTATAATAATAATAATAATAATAATAATAATAATAATAATAATAATAATAATAATAATAATAATAATAATAATAATAATAATAATAATAATAATAATAATAATAATAATAATAATAATACGAAAATAAAAAGAGGCGTAAAAATGAATAAAAAAATCGACACTGACTATTGATTGGGTGAGAGAAATCGAAGGAGGGAGAGAGAGGGAGAAGGAGGTAGGGAGGGAGGAAGGTAGGGAGGGAGGAAGGTAGGGAGGGAGGAAGGTAGGGAGGGAGGAAGGTAGGGAGGGAGGGAGGTAAAGGGAGGGATGGATAATGACTTAATCTAGACTGTGGTACAACTGTCGCGTCCTCACTATCATGGAGGGCCGCTGGGAGGAAGGAAGGAAGGAAGGAAGGAAGGAAGGAAGGAAGGAAGGAAGGAAGGAAGGAAGGGAGGAAGGAAGGAAGGAAGGAAGGAAGGAAGGAAGAAGTAAGAGGAAAGGAGAGGCAAAGAAGTGAGAGAGAGAGGGACAGAGGAACGTAGAGAGGAGGAAAGTTAGAGAAATTAGGGGGAGAGGGAATAAGTAAGACGAAAGGAGGAAGGAAGGAATGGAGTAAATAAGAAGAAGGGAGGGAGAGAGGAAATAAGAGGAAGAGAGGGAGGGAGAGAAGGAGAGAGAGAGAGAGAGAGAGAGAGAAGGGGAGAGCAGACAGTTACCATCAGTTCATAACAAGACCAACAGACCAAAGACCCATGACCTAACAGGGTGGTCAAGGATGTGCTGTATGCTGACGAGGGTGTGGCAGGAGCGAGGTACTCCGCCGTCAGTATCATCACCTCGTTAAGCTTATTACTATCCTAACCTGACCTAACCTAACCAAAGTCAACTCAAATCAACCCAACTCAACCGTATTTAAGTGGTAGAAAAGAATGTTGCAGCGGTAGTAGAGTGTTGTATATAGGTACACACACACACACACACACACACACATGTATACATTAAAGGGCGTGAGGTCCCTGGGGGGTGATAGTTGATAATAGTACAGTAGTCAACTTTATATTCACATAATGCTCGACACCCTCTGATGTATTCTCCTCCTCCTCCTCCTCCTCCTCCTCCTCCTCCCTATGTCTCCATCTACCAGTGTCATCTCCTTTATTAAGTACACACACACACACACACACACACACACACACACACACACACACACACATTAAAGCAGAGGATAACATAATGGCAGTCAAAATAAAAATAAAACGGCAATAAAAATTAAAAACACGATTTAAATCAAACTACCAGGTTCAGTACGGCTTTTAATCTGTTTTTAATTAAATCTTCGAAAATAAAAGTTTTAATTAATACTTTGATACTAAAATTAAACAGATTTCAGTTTATACTTTGAAACTATAAACTTTTTTCATCCGTTGTTCAGGGTAACGTCTAGACATTCACGAAAGACAAAGTTTGTAAACACGAAGAAGAAGACGAGGAAAATTTGACCTCAGTTTTGACTTAAGGTTCTTCAAGAGCACGTTCATAGTTGTGTGTATACTACTGCCAACACACACACACACACACACACACACACACACACACACACACCAACCTCCCCCACGGCTCGTCAACAGCCCCTCAGGGAGCTGTACGCCCAGCCATTGGTAAATCGCCCAACTTGCATGCTAACTCAGCACCTCCTGGATGACAAAAATAAGTTTTGTACGAAGTCAGGTGAAGAGAATTTCCCCCGATCTTAAGATGTCACATAGGCGAGTGTCTCCAGTCTTGAAGGACGAAAAAGGAGAAGAAAAAATCAATTCTTTTAATATCTTTTGGTGTTTTATCCCTATACGTAAAAAAATAAAGGAAGATTTAGCACAAGATAACGAGACTTTGAGACGGACAGAAGAGGCTTGGGTGATGGAGGGGATAGAGAATAAGATTTTTTTTTTTCGGTGGGGCTCAGAAAAACGAGCAACGATACGAGTAAGGCACTTGGGACCCGCTCGTTCCCTTGGCCAAACTTAACTCGGCCATTTGTCGGGCGTTACGAGCATTTACTGGATGTGGGTAGTTAGCCCGGGTTGTTATGGCCGAGTGGAGAGCAGCGGTGGTGGTGGTGGTGGTGGTGTCTGACGAGTATTTATGGTGGAGATGTGGTGAGGAGTGAGGGAGGGCCTGGCTCTCTCCCTGTCTCCCTTCTCTTGCTGTCCTCCCTGTCTACCTACCTCTGTCTACCTCTATACCTGCTTTCCTACTCCTTCCTGTCTACTTTCTCTTGCTGTCCTCCCTGTCTACCTACCTCTGTCTACCTCTATACCTGCTTTCCTACTCCTTCCTGTCTACTTTCTCTTGCTTACCTTTCTGTTTACCTCTGCTTGCTGTCCTCTGTCTACCTGTACCTACACACATTATTACTACGACAACATTATTCATAACTACTACTACTACTACGACTACTATTACTACTACTACTACTACTACTACTACTACTACTACTACTACTACTTTTTTTTAAAGTGGCCTCCAGTCTCTAATAGCCACACCTTCGCCACCATTTATTTACCTTAATATTAAATATCCCACATTACTACTACTACTACTACTACTACACACGTCACCTGGATCATGAAATAAGAGAGAGAAAACAGAAAACACAAAAACAGAAACGATGGTAATAATAATAATGATGACGATGATGATGATGACGACGATGACGATAATGATGACAGGCCGAATGCAGTATACCTCCCTCACTCTCTTAACTGACCTTTCATCGCTATTCCGTCCATGTCCAGGTAAGCACCATCTAAAAAGAGACAGAGAACAAGGTATGAGTGAATGAGTGTCGCTTCATATACCTGCAGTGGTGGTCAACCTGTATATCGGCTCACCTGGTTCCTAATGAGCTCAGTCTACGAGGTATAGTGTGTGTGTGTGTGTGGGGGGTGTGTGTGTGTGGGGTGTGTGTGTGTGTGTGTGGGGAGGGTGTGGGCAGAAATACGTACATCCCGCGGTCACTAATTGCCTCAGGTGTGTAAATTAGTATAAAGGTGTACACGAGAGGTAGGGATAAACACAAGGAAGATGACCAATAAACAAAGGAATAATATAAATAACGAATATTAGTCAACGAGGAAGAGAGACGATGGGGAGGGGAGAGGTTAGGTGTGAGGGGTGAGGTGGGGGTGGGAGAGGTGGGGTGTGTGTGTGGGAGGGGTGTGAGAGGTGGGTGTGGGGGGGGTGGGAGGGGTGTAGGGTGTGTGAGAGGTGGGGTGTGTGAGAGGTAGGGGTGTGTGGAGAGGTGGGAGTGGGGGGAGAGGTAGGTGTGTGGAGGGGTGAGGTGAGGGTGGAGAGGTGGGGTGGTGGAGGGGGGTGAGAGGTGGGTGGGGGGTGTGAGGTGGGGTGAGGAGGGGTGGAGTGTGAGAGGTGGGGTGTGAGAGGTAGGTGTGTGAGAGGTGGAGGTGTGAGAGGTAGGTGTGGAGAGTACGAACGGCAGCATCGAAATCTAAGGCTAAATCTCATCTGAACGGGAGAGACGAAATGATCCCATGGGCGGAGAGAATGATCCCCAGGCCACCCAACCCACTTTGCCCACCTTCCTGCGACTTGTGACGGGAATCGATAGGAACACGAATCTAGGTCCTAACCTAACCTAACCTAACCTATTCTAAACTAACTTAACCTCCCCCATCCCGCCACAGGTACCGTTAAAATAGGTTAGGTTAGTGTTAGGTTAGTGTTAGTTCAGGATGTGTTCGATTAACATTAGATTAGGTTAGATTAACATTAAGGTAGTTAACATCATCCGGCCAGGGACCTCTTATTAGCCTCAGTAAGTTCAATTCTCTCCTCATCCTCCTTCCTTCCTATCTCTCCCTCATTTTTCTCTCCCTCCCATCCCCTCTTCCTCCCTATCACCTCTCTCCGTCCTCAACCAATCCCTCCTTCTTTTCCACATCCCACCCTTCCTCCTCCACCCCCCTCCTCCTCCCCCTCCTCCCCCCTACCTCCTCCCCCCTACCTCCCCAACACCCCCTCTCCCCACCAGATGAAATAAGCTAAGGGTGTGAAATCTTAAAGTGATCCAAGAAACACCCACAAGATACCGTCGAGGTCTTGCCCTAGTCCCCCGCCCCCCAGCACCGAGGACCGCCAGTAGGAGTGGGTTAGTTGGCTCACCGCAGTACATGGAAAAGCTGCTCAACCAGAATCCGTAGAGCGATGGTGTGGTGGTCACTTTTATTTCCTGTGTGTGTGTGTGTGTGTGTGTGTGTGTGTGTGTGTGTGTGTGTGTGTGTAGAACAGACAGACTCACACACGTACAAAAAGAAAATGTTATATTACAAAGGTTTTCCACTTGAGGGAGAAAAGTCAGCAACTGTCATGTGTTAAACCAAACCACAAGGTATAGTGTGTTGAGAGAGAGAGAGAGAGAGAGAGAGAGAGAGAGAGAGAGAGAGAAGAGAGTTCTACAATCATAAACCTTAAAAACGTCTCATCAAGAATGTTAAAGAGATCCACATCATTCCACTGTTGCGTCACAAGAATGTACTTTATGCCCTCTCTCTAGGTTTCTGCCTTCAAATATTCCGTGTTATTTGCTATTCGTAAAAGCGGATTATTATTATTATTATTATTATTATTATTATTATTATTATTATTATTATATATTATTATTATTATTATTATTGTTATTATTATTATTATTATTATTATTATTATTATTATTATTATTATTTATTATTATTATTATTTCCTATTCTTGTTGTCTTCCCCATATCGATGATGTATTTGAGGGAGGGGGGGGAGATTGCACCTCTGACCCCATAAAAACTAAAGCCCCCTCTGTCCCTCACGTCATGAAAAATAAATAATAATAAATAAATAAAATAAAATAAATAAATAAATAAATGTTATCTTATCGTATTTGACCCACTGAACAAGTCTGGCCGGTTTAATTGACTCGTAAATAGACGAGTAATTATTTATCGTCCACAACACTAAAACACAGCATAACACAACACAACGTAACATAACACAGCATAACCCAATACAACACACGACGCAACACAACACAGAACATTCAGTGCATAATTAAACACTCAACTTATCACACAACGCAACACACAACACATATACAACACCTAATAATTAACACACATACAACACACATACAATACAACACTTAAACAATCAATACATAGAACACAAAATCGAATTACCGCTTAACGTATATATTAACTGCCGCTAATCTAAAACTTAACTTAATTACCGCAAACCTGACCTAGCTATCGTTAACCTAATCATAAATACCTTATAAAACTAACCTCATCTAACCTAACCTAACATAATATTACATCGGCGTTGCAGGTGTCGGGGTGCAGGTGTCGGGGTGCAGGTGCGCGATCTTCATATCTGTAAAATGTGTTTGAATCGCGGAGGACTACACACAACACAAACCTAACCTAACCTAACCTAACGCTAACCTAACCTAACCTAACCTAACCAAACCTAACCTAACGCTAACCTAACCTAACCTAACCTAACGCTAACCTAACCAAACCTAACCTAACGCTAACCTAATCTAACCAAACTCAAACCAAATCTACGTATCAACAAAAGATTTCAGAGGCAGATAACACTACCATGTCCTGTACGATGGTTGACTGAGACACGCGGACCATTGAGAAAGATAATTCACAAGAGAGAGATTACGGGAAGTATTATAGCGGGTTTATATAGAAGGACCGTCAAAATCCCTTCAAAGTATAACTAAGGATGAAAGGTCTAGTTATTGAAGCGTCTTAAGTCCAGGAGTGTGATATAATGAGATTTACCTGTGAAATTACCTGTTGATTTGTCTTTAATTTATCTCACCTGGTTAATTAGTTGTATGAGTGTTAGATATATTGAGATTTACCTGTGAAATTACCTGTTGATTTACCTTTATCTCACCTGATTAATTAACCTCTCGTGTATGGTGTTCCCTCTGAGTGAATAACATTGGTGGAGTGATGTAGAGTGTGTATTAAAAGTATAGCGTCCCCGTAGTAAAAGGGCTATTCATTCTAACGCTAAATTAACCTAACCTAACCTAACCTGACCTATAACCAATAATTAACCTAACCAAATTACCTTTATTTCATCTGAAGACTAACCACCCTGATGCTAACTTAACCTAACCAATACCCAACCAGTTAACCCCCCCCTCCCCCTCCCGTCCCTTCCCCAGGTATCGTTAGGGTGATTAATCTTCAGGTGAAATAAGTTGGGGGTAAATCTTCACGTGATACTCAAATTGTTATGATTTAATATATAATAGGAACAATACTCAGCCTTGTACTTCATTTCTTCTGTCCTCACATGAACGGGGATAACCTCAGTGTCTTTGAACATATTGTGGTAAACTGTGCTATTATTACGTGTGTGTGTGCGCGTGTGTGCGTGTGTGTGTGTGTGTGTGTGTGTGTGTGTGTGTGTGTGTGTGTGTGTGTGTGTGTGAAAACTGTAGCTGTATTATAATTTGTTCCCGCGATAAGTGATATAATGGCGGTGAGCTGTTGTCTGCTGTGTGGCGAATGACTGAATGAAAAGATCAAATTTTTCTCCCTAACCTAACCTAACCAAGCCTAACCTAGCCTAACCTAACCTAATGTAAAAATTCATCAACTTTATCATCTTAAGAAGCATGAACAAAGGTCGTGAAGAATGTGTCTAAAATTTGGAAGTGGGTTCTGAAACTTTTGGTCCAGACAGCGGTTGACTTTCAGGTTGTTATCTAGAGTCGGGCGTATTAGGGTATCGGAGGTTATCAGCTCCTCTGGGGTGGGATCAGTAGGGTGGCCGACGACGCTGCTTTTGTTGAAACAGCCACAATAAACATTCTCTTGTGTATTATGATCATAACCCTCAAGTTCTTCAATAGACCCGCGTGTTGACTGGTCGTGTTGTGTAGGTCGTTAACTCTTTTATTATATACACTGAGTATTATGGTCTGGCGGGCGGCTGTGGTTCAGGTTCTGGACACAAGTCAGAAGGTTTCCCCATGATTAACTAAAAGACCAAAACGGCATCGTCCTTTTATTTCTTTCATGGCGCGTGTCACCCCAGCGGCCTCCCTCCCCCTCCTCAATGGGATCGGCTTCTAATCCTCCCCCGTTAACTCCCTCACGGGACGGCCTTACTCTCTCAGCGGACCTCACTCTGCCTCCTGCTGGGTGCACACATAAGGGAGGGCCGCAACTTACCTGAGTTCGGCTGCGCCTGGTATGACGGCTTCTTCATCCATTCAAACGGTGAGCGAACCTGCTGTGGGCGTGGTGGTGGGCCGTGGGTGTTGGGCGAGGACCCAGCCTCCCCCGCGCCCTCGCCTAATGTTAAGACATTATCGTGTGGTGACTGGGCTCCGCCGCCCCCTGGGACGCCCCCGTCGCTGCTGAACTCAGGAGGACCCGCTATAGGAGCCAACTTTTGATAGTGTGCGAAGTTTGGGGAGCCTGGCCCTGTTTGTGTTGTGGTGCCGGGGGCACACGGCGACGGGGTGTGGGGCGGTTGTTGGACTCCCCCAGGGGCTGATGATGAGAGTACTGAGGGCTGCGGCAAGGGTGAGGCGCCCCCATGACCCCCATTATGATGCAGAGGTCCAACCCAATCCTCGTAGCCGGTGGGTGATCGCTGCTGGCAGTGGGCGGCGGCAGCAGAATGGTGAGACGCCGGCATGTACATAGCGGCCGGGTTGTGCCACGCACCTCCCTGCAGACCGTCGCCGAACTGTCCCGCCATAAAAGGCTGCAAGTTGCAGTTGAGATCTGGTGGAGCATACTGGTGGTGCGGGTGGTGGTGATGGTGGTGATGCGCCGCTTGTTGTGGGTAGTAGCCGAAGTAGCCAGCGTGGCTCTGTTGTGCTACCACCGAGTGCGGCGGCGGCCTGTTGGCGGCGGGGAACATGGTGATGTCTGAGGCCCCGACCATCAGCACCATGGTACTCTAGCAAGGCCAGCCGCCCATCACCGGCCGCGCCCACACCGTCTGTTCTAAACAATCACTCCACTTGGTGTACACGACCACACCGCGAGCACTGCTTGCACACCACAGTCTGGCCACGACACTGCCGGACACTGCGGCACGATGGCTGCGCTCTTCACTTCAAGTTTCACAATATACTGTATACACTATAGACTGAACTGCTTATTCGTGGATTTTCATGGCCAAAATATTTACACTGTTCCAAAAACTGATGTATTTTCATAAGTCAAAGAGAGCCGAGCGGGGCCCTGTAGTGTGTTAAGGCGTGACGCGTCGGACAGAATTGTCAGGGTGACGGACGTGCTACGCGGTCTCCATCACCATCAGGTAATGGCCGCTACCCGCGCTGCCCGGGTCCCCTTACTAGCCCCGCCTTCGTCCCGCCTCCTCTGCACTTCCAGCTCCTCCCATAACCTTCCCCTGACAAATAGCGCGGCTCCTGCTCACAAGGCCTCCACCAATAAGATAACGTCTGGGCGTCATCACTACAACTTGGGATAACGCGGTAGGTCGCCTTGCAAGAAATCCTTATGTTAAATCTTGTAACAAAGGGGTTTCGATAATGGTGTCCCAAATGTCTGAATTTTACGGGAAATAATATTCCAACGAGGAAAATATTTTGGTCTCGGGGAGAGAGAAAAAGATAAGCCGAGGGAGTCAACAGCACGTGTGTCACTTAGTCCGTCACGCAGTGTTCCTTTTTTTAGCTCCAACTTACTGAAAGGCTTCTGGCGTCGGTCCTCACCAAGGGCTCTTAGACAAAGTAACAAGGGGTGCGTGGGTAGACAGGGCGTGGGTAGAAGGGGCGGAGGTAGAGGGGGTGTGGAGGTAGAGGGTGCGTGGATAGAAGGTATGAGGATAGAGGGTGCGTGCATCACCTATTCAGCTAACACCATCACACGTGTCTATTAGTCTCATATCAACTCACCACCACCACCACTATCACCACCAACACCACCACCACCACCACCACCACCACCACCACCACCACCACCACTATCCCCACCAACACCACCACTACTATCACCACCATCACCACCACCATCACCACCACCATCACCATCACCACCCAAGAGGAAATACCAGCGAGCCACAGAAACCAACACCGACCTGAATCTCTGCAGGTCCAGATATATTTCACAAACACTTTCCTTTCCTCCTTATCAATGGTATTTCCCCACCAAGTAAGTATAGATTAACTGACGTGAATTTTATCAAGTAATTCTATTTCTGAATTGGACTTAGGAAACTGATCAAGGTTTTAGTTATCTTGGATTTCTCTCAAATTTCAGGGGGGTTTTTTAGTTATTTTTTTATTAATTATAAAAAAAAAAACGTAAATATTTCTGATTAATTGATGTCCAAATCTGATTGTGATTAGTTCTTAAATTAATTACTGATTAGGTGATTCGGGGTTATTAGGACGTAATGATTGGATGATTAGTGTGAGTGGGTGAATGGGTAGGTGGATGAGTAGATGGATGCGTATATCCAACTCAACGACAGGTAACAGCTCAGGTGGATCTATTCAGGTTCATAGACATTATTAAGGTGAAAGCAAATTCTCATCTTTTAATAGGATGTGTGACTCGTGTTCACAATAGACACAAAAAAACCTTTAGGACTTAATATAGTTTTTAACCTATCAATATACACTAGTTAACTAGCCATTACAGTTAAATTACAGGTGAGGTCATTAGTTTATACCTGTACCTGTTGTGCCCGAATGTGTTGGTTAGTTAAGTAAAAAGAAAGGAAGGTTTTGATTGACCAGATGTCCGTCTATTTGTATGTCTGGTACAGAGGAATAATTAACACAGGTGATAGCCCCCTTACCTCACCTGCCTATTAGTTCTCGTCACCTGCCCCCCCCCCCCTCCACCTTCTCTTACCCTTCTGTTCCCCTTCTCTTCCCCTTCTCTTCCATTCTCTTGCCCTTCTCTTGCCCTTCTCTTGCCCTCATCACGCAATAGAAGTTTCCTCTCAGGCTTGTCAAAGTTGGTAGTGGTGTCAGGATAAGGGGTGTTGGTGTCAGGGGGTGGTAGTGGTGTCAGGGGGGTGGTAGTGGTGTCAGGGTAAGGGAGGTGTCAAGGGGTGTGGTGTCAGTGGTGTGGTGTCAGGGGTAGGGGTGTTGGTGTCAGAAGGGTGGTAGTGGTGTCAGGGGTGGTAGTGGTGTGTCAGGTAAGAGTGTTGGTGTCAGGAGAGGAGTGGTGTCAGAAGGTGATAGTGGTGTCAGGAGGGTGGTAGTGGTGTCAGGGTAAGGGGTGTTGGTGTCAGGGGGTGGTAATGGTATCAGGAGGGTGGTAGTGGTGTCAGAAGGGTGGTAGCGGGGTAAGGTTTGTTGTGTCAGGGATAGGGGTTGTGGTGGTGTCAAGGAAGGTGGTAGTGGTGTCTAGGAGCTGATGATGGTGTCAGGGAGGATGATAGTGGTGTCAGACAGTCAAGGAGGGTTGTAGAAGAAGTGTCAGGGAGGGTGATAATAGTGTCGGGGGGGTGGTATCGTGTGGCCGGTGTTCACAGTTCACATAACTTTACTGTGTATTAAACCATCACCTTGGCAAGTGTCACGCCCTAATGGAGTAGTTTGTGGCGCGTGACGAGAAGATGTTGTAACAGTGAGGTTAATGGTGATATTGTGGTGGTTAATGGCGCAAGTGGTGTAAGAATATCTTTATAAGTGGTGTTATTCTTGTTATATTTGCGACGAGATGGTGTTACAGTGAGGTTAATGGTGTTATTGCTAGGGTGGTTAATGGCGCACGTGGTGATAGAATACCAATATAGTGGTATTAAACTCCATTAGGACTTTACTACACATCTTCCAAGACACACTCAATGAATTTTTAAATCTATAGTAGTAGTAGTAGTAGTAGTGGTAGTAGTAGTGGTGGTAGTAGTAGTAGTAGTAACAGGGGAGGTCGATACCAGTGAAGTAAACGAGATTCGTAGGTCCATCACGACAGATCGACAGCACTGCCAAAATGATAAGTTGCAGCAACTGTTGCTGCAGTTTCCCATGAAAATTTGAAGGAAAAAAGTAGCTATAGCGCAGGAGGTGGGCGCCTCGAACTGGTTAACTACGTTACCGATAAGGGCAAATGGTTTCAGTCTTAACAAACAAGAATTTACAGATGCCATTGCTCTAAGGTACGGTCGGCCAGTAGAAGGTTTGCCCTCCTAATGCGTGTGTGGCTCTTCCTATGACGGCGATCACGCCATGGTGTGCAAGAAGGGGGGCTTCATATGCATGAGGTATGACGAGGTAAGGGACCTCACAGCAAATATGTTGAAGGAAATCTGCCGGAATGTCATGGTAGAACCGACCCTCCTTCCATTGGATGGTGAGATCCAACACAGGACTTCAAACACATCTAACGAAGCCCGTGTGGACGTCAGTGCTCGAGGATTCTGGAAGCTGGGACAGCGAGCTTTCTTCGACATCAGGATTTTTGATCCCATGGCCGCATGTCACCGTAACTTAGCTCTCGATGCTGCACACAGGAGGAGCGAGAACGACAAGAGAAGGGCATATGGGGAGAGAATTCAAAACGTTGATCAAGGCAGCTTTACTCCTCTAGTGTTCACAACCTCTGGTGGGATGGGCCCAAGTGCAAGAGGTTTCTACGCCAGACTCGCGGAGGTGATCTCCGAACAGAAGCAGCAGCCCAGAAGTTATGTTACAGCCTGGATGAGATGTCGACTGTCTTTCTCTCTCCTTCGGTCGGCTTTGCTCCGCCTCAGGGGAACGAGAGCTTCTGCCCCAGCTCCGACAACTGCTGCAGATATTGACTATGAGGCTACGGTCACTGAATGCCGCATAGATCTACGGCTCAACTAATTTAACACAGATAGGATAGCTACTTATGTATTAGGATATTTAATATTAAGGTAATTAAATGGTGGCGAAGGTGTGGCTATTGGGGGAGGCTGGAGGCCACTGTTAAAAAAAAAAAGTAGTGGTAGTAGTAGTAGTAGTAGTAGTAGTATTGTTATTATTATTATTATTATTATTATTATTATTATTATTATTATTATTATTATTATTATTATTATTATTATTATTATTATTATTATTATTATTATTATTATTATTATTATTATTATCATTATTATTATTATTAATATTATTGTTATTATTATTATTTATTATTTCATTAATGCGGTTTTTGTTACTTCAATAAGCGAAGGTGTCCAGCAGACAGGTGAAAAGACACCGGCTCACCTCTGCCTATCACCCCTAATGCAGGACGTTTGGGCCAGGGTAGTGAGGAACCTAACCTAACCGTGACCCAACCATTCTCTCATCGTCGCCTCCTGCACATCTCATACTGTAGTGTTAATAATATGTTACAAAATACTTGTTGTTTGGGCTCGTGGGTTTGGGTTGTGAAATACGTGGTAGTGAACATGTCCATCCTGAGCTAACGTGTGTGTGGAGAGAGAGAGAGAGAGAGAGAGAGAGGAAGGGTGGTTGAACGAGGCAAGAATGCAAATGAGACCTTCATGTTATCTAGTGACTTGTAGTAAATCACACGAGACATTTCCCCTCCCCACCCCCCTACACATGTCTCTTACTTCTCCCTCTCCTCCCTGCTTCTTCTTCCCTCTCCTCTCTCCCTCTCTTCCTCATCTCCACTACCTCCCTTTCCTCCCCCTCTTTCCTCTCTACCCCATATTCACTCCCCCTTCTCCACTACCTCCCTCTCCCTCCCCCTCCCTCCCTCCTCTCTCCCTTCTCCATCGCGTCTCCTTCCTCCTCCTCCTCTCTCCCACACTATGCTAATAATATAAATGACAATAAAAGTAATAGTAAACATCTTATTTCAGCAACAACATAACATACTAAAGAAACAATGCAATTTATACATATACATAGCCTGTATGTATAGAGGGAATGTATATGAATGAAGATAAGATTATAATAAAAAAATAACAAAGAGAAGAAGATTATTAGGTGTAACTATGGTATAAATGTTTTTTTTTCTCCCAGTTCACCCACAGCTTAGAAGATAAACAGACGTTGCTTCGTAATAATCACAGTTTCTTAGTGTTAAAACTCATTTAGGGTTAAGTTACATCATGGGTAGAGGGCCTCTTGGTCGACCCTGCTGCGGAATGGGAAGTTAACTTTACGCCTGGGGAAGAGAGCAATGGTGGAGTCAGAGTCTTCAGTATGCTATATCCAAACTGCCTCTAAGGCCTTTGGGGGCATAAACTCACTGTATAATTATCTAGTAGTAGTAGGTGGTGATGTGCGTGTGTGTGTGTGTGTGTGTGTGTGTGTGTGTGTGTGTGTGTGTGTGTGTGTGTGTG